GATATGATACAGTCTTGTCGCTTGCCTAGAAAAATCAGGCTGATACCACGCCAAGCTTATTCAACCTTGACACGCCATACCATCCGCACCGATCGAGGCAAAAGACTACCTCAGGAAAGATTGGAAGCTGGGCCAGTTTTCTAGGCCAGTGCGCTGACAGCTGCACTATCAGGGAAGCCATTTGCCATAGCAGCTTGATGGCAGACATACAAAGTGCAATAGAATATAGAATCGTTCACTCTACTTTTACTTACCAGTAAAAAAGTTGCTTCGTTTGAGAAACTTGTACATAGCCAGCATAGTGCTTCGAACGTAGTGGTTCAACCAAGTTGGGTAGGGATTTGATCTGCTCCCATTCTGGTGCTGCTGATGTAAGTGATATCAGGAGACACAAGACCAATACATTCATAGTTCTGTAAATTTCGAATAATGTTAGTCCTGTAGCCATAGGTCGCCTAAGGGTTGTGGGCGGAGTGCTCCGCTACGAATTCCATGCTACAGCCAGTAGGAGGTGCAATACCAGCTCCGAATGCGCCTCTCAGTGGCTGACCCTATCGGATCCACCAACGGAGCATAATAACTAGTAAACTATGCCTCGGGCAATGTTGTTCATCGTAAAAGGATTCCCTGTTCTCAAAACTCAGGGAGCTGACTCAATATTTTCATCAAAATTACGAATTCTATGCGACTAAGAAAAATTAGAAGTCGATCGAGCTCTAGAAATTCTTCAAATATCCTTAAGGCTATATTTTCTTTTTTTAAAGGTGATTGATGAGTACTGAAGTTGAAAACTATTATCAAAACCGTTTCAGAGAATTACATGACAATTAGAGGCTCTGGTTCCCTCAGTTCGCCTCCATTTTTCGACTCATTTGAAGTTCATTTGGGCAAAAACTAAGTTTCTAACCACAACCCCCAGGTTAGCTAGGGTTACGGTCGGTGACAGCGCACCACTACTTACTTCAAATGAATGAAACTGACGAAATGCACTCACATTTTCTTCCAGGTTCATGATTAGGCCTGTGCCATCAGGGCCGTCTTCTGCCCTCGGAGCGCAGAGAAAATGAATGTCATACTTCGTACTTCGAACTACTAGGCGGATTTCAGAGAAGCGGGTGAGTGAGTGTGAGGGGAGCGTTGGTGAAATGTGGACGCTTTCACAAATACATCCACCGCAAACTATACCAACAACACGGCAGCGCATGTGTTCACCTCTGACGTCATAACTCTGTGCAGTACAAACATCACGCCTTCACAGTGAAAGCGAGAGACTGCTAAATGCGAACGTGTGTAATGGCAAATGATGCTGTGCCGCGCACACAGTCCATGGCCAGATCCTGGATCAAACCCCCCAGGCTGACCAAGTTTCGCCATCCACTCGGGGTTGACTAGTTGATAACAGACTCGTCCAGGAGGACAAAAACGCTGACGCGATATAGTGCGCCGTAGCAAGCCAGCAAGGCAGTTACGATTCGGAAAGGGAGTAGAGTGGGTGGCGCATCTCGAGAATCGGTTAATACTAATTGCCTTCTCCTTGAGGGTCTCCTTATAGACGACTCACGATGTTAAGCAGGCTAAATTGCGTCCCTTCTATTTATTGATATTACGAATATGCCTCAGTCAAAGTCAGCTACTCGAAGAACTCTCATATGTACAGCTGCTGGCATATCTCGTTTCCAGATGGGTGGGGCCACTTCTGAGTGCGGCGTTCCTTCCAACAGTGGCGAGAGTAAGGCAGATCAGACCACTTGATGAAAAAGATTCCACCTATCCGTGGCGGAATGTGTCTACAGTTTTATAATCAGCGTACATTTTGTATTATAGGCAATGTGCACAAATTGCTCGTGAACTATCGGGCAAGCACAGCCTTGTTCGCTGCGGATGATGGGGCGTGTCAGTCGGTCTAGATTTAGCGCGCCGCCAGCTAGCTCTTCACCAGTTGTTGAAGAGGGTAAGCGACAACAGCTGGAACGACATGAGAAAGACGCTAAAGTTTTGCGCTCGCTCGCTTGGGCACCAGGTGGAAAAAGGGTTTGGCACCGAGCCAAACCCGTTTCTCTCAACATGCCCCACCATCGGCAGGGAACAAGACTGTAAAGTGATGCGATTCCTTCTGGCATAAGTCGGAACTGTCCAAAACTTAACACTAAAACATAGATTAAAACTCCGAACTCAACATTGCTTTTCTACGTTAACACACAGAAATATGTGATGTCTGCTATCAGAAGTGAGCACGACATCTGAAGCGTTATCAGACATACAAACAATGAAATTGTGAGTATTAACTCATTACTCATATGAGCATACATTTCAAGCCAAATGATGGCCATTAAATCTAATACGCATAACTTAACAGAAAAATACATTCACTCTAGAATTTCACCTGAAAACACACTGGTAACTTCCCATGTAAAATGCGGTTGAAAAGTCAATTTGTTTTTCTGCTGCACAGATGCAGCCGACCTTATCTACAATGGTCTGCTATTCCTAAACAAGAAAAAAGCTTGTGAAATTTCATGGGAGAAAGATGTCTCTACGTCCATGACGTTTTGGTCAGAATCGATCGGAACTGGTTGTAGGTCAAAGGGGTACTCAAACTAGTCTATTTTCCGTAAAAGGGGCGCAGATAAACCCCAATCAGTCGTAGCGGTATCAAACGAGGTGGAATGAGCCCAAATGCGGCGTTTTCATCACTGGTTCTTCCTCTTGAATCG